GCATAATTTGTTTCTCCCCTTCAGTGTCACTTGATCACAATGGCAGTTGTGCACATGTATTATTGGCTGCCACACTTACCACAAATATGTTTCATAATTCTCAGATATGACGTGGAAACATTCAGAATGTCTCAGTTCTACTTTGAGTGCTGCAGTGGCTTTTCATTTATTTATTTGCAATGTTACTAGTGTCAGGATTTTTTGCATTTAATTTGATGTGAATTGAAGCTGATGTAAAGGGGCTTATGGGGTGCCATTTCATGTGCTTTGTTTAGTTATCTGGCTTATCCAATAACATGACAAACTTTGAGGTAGCTAGAGCCTAAAATTATGTGCTTTATTTTAAATTTTGGAAAGTACAAAATGTTCCACATCGTTGATGTTATTTTTTATTAGAGTATTAAAAAATAAAGTTAAAACAATGTAACTTAAAATAGGGAAAACTCATAACCCTTGTGTGGCACGTTAAATAGAAAGGTTTACTAATAAAGTTGTATGGAGTTCACTTAGTTCTTTGAAGAACTTTATTTTATTCCAGTTCTACTTTTTCAGGCTAACAGCTCTTAGTGATATCTGTGGCTTAAGAAAGTCATCACACATCCCAGTGTGTTCCTGGAAATTTCCTTCTGCCTGTCACCTCTCAGATTTGGCTGCAGGGCTGCTTCCCACAGCAAATAGCCCCCTATGCTTTGCAGGAGCCTCCCTGTCTTCCCCAGTGCTGCGAGTTTTCTGCATTTGGCCTAAACTGCCTTTTCTTTCTAAATCCAGACACTGTTTTTCAGCAAGACATCTTCTGCAGGACCCACAGAGCAAACTCCAACTGCACTTAAAAGTTTTATCATTCTTTACAGAAAGGTTTTCTTAATCTGCTTGAAGACTTGACCTTACGAAGTTTGCAAAATTATGTCATATAATTGTGTCTCCTAGAAAATCTGGAAGTCATGAAAATTATAGCCTTCATTTATGACACAATTAAACATTGTGTCAGCAGTCAGAAATTCCTGCATGTACCTCTTCTGGGCTTTCACTCTTGGCCCAGGGATGGACTGCTTTCAAAGGTCAAACAGCACTTAAGTCCCTTCTCCCAAAGGAGTACCCCAGACTCTGTGTTGTTGTTCATCAGTTTTTTTGCCAAAATAGAATTATAAATGAGCCCACCAACTCCTTTTGCTCATTTATCAACAAAAGGCAGTGAAGGTAGAAGCAGAACTAGGAAAAGTTCATGTCTGTCTTTTAACAGAGCTGCAATTACAACACTGTTGCTAATATATTTCAGTCATTACCATATCAGCTGGATAGAAAAGACTTTTTAATGAAGCACAAGTTGATGCTGTTTAGTTTACAGACTAATTTTCCATTAGCAAGGCAATTTACCACTGAACTCTTTAAAACACATCTCCATAGCAATTCCTGAAATAAAGACCTACTCATGCAAGTAGATTTTAGTAAGTGGTGAAAAGAGGCAGAATAAACAGCATTTATCCAGGAGCAAAACTAACACTGCATTCATTAAAGATATCTATGCAAAAAAAGGTGTAGACTGACAGCAATACTTTAGATTCTAGCAAACAAATAAGTGTTTCTGTCCCATAGAAAACGTTCCATGAATAACTGCAGAAGCACAAGAATATACCCATTTGCAGATGCATAAACCAGTGAAAACTATAGAGAGGAAATTAAGAATAGCAAAAGAAATGTGTTTTTTATAAACAGCGAATCAAATCTCCCTTCCCTACCTTTAACCCTGAGAAGGTGATTTCTTGTTCCTATCTCCTTCTAGTGAGCAGATTAATCTTAAAGCTGTATTTGGACAGAAAATATAACTGAATTCACATGTGAAGTTTTCCTATTGGAAATGTCTCATTAGGTAATATTCATGGGAGGTTTATGTTGGATATTAGAAATAGGTTCTTCATCCAGAGAGTGGTTGGGCACTGCAACAGGCTCCCCAGGGAAGTGGTCACAGCACCAAACCTGACAGAGTTCAAGAAGCATTTGGACAATGCTCTCAGGCACATGGTGTGACTCTTGAGGTGGTCCTGTGCAGGGTTAGGAGTTGGATTCGATGATCCTTGTGGGTCCCTTCCAACTCAGTCTATTCTATGATTTTATGATTCAATGACTTTGTCATGTTTCACTGTTGGAGTTTTTTCTCTTATACTGGAAGATCTGCCTAAATGAATGCAACATGAATGTAAACAAAAAATGTTCAAGGACTACTGGACAGAATAGAACCAAAGTTGGAATCTGTTTTTTTAAAAATTAGCCTTTAGTTAGGTCTATGCTCTTTTGTCCTTAACACTGATTGTTGTAGCTTTCTGTCATTTATGTCATGTAGGTTTTGATTGCTGGTATCAGGGCCTTTGTTTCTAAAATCTAGACAGCCCTATGTAAAAATGATAAATAACCCTTCTGTGATCCATGTGATGGCCCTTGCCATCCCTGCTACTTGGACCAGCTGAGCAGGCAGAGCATTGGGAAGGTCAGCCCGTGTGCTGGACAGGTCCCAGTGCTGAATGAGGACTGGGCTGTTTTTTGAAGAGGAAGATGTTTGTGGGGAAAGAATAGGGGCTATTCACTCCACAGTTACCTGTTCTCTTTCCTTCCCGCTTGGAATAACTGCTGTTACACTCAATAGCAGTCATATGGGTCATCCCTGCACTTTGAGTCCAAGCTGGTTCTGGCACATTTTTGATCTTACAGGTTGTTGCACTCCAGATTTAAGTTATAAGCTGCCCAGAGTGGCTACATTTTATTTAAGACTTCTTTTAAAAGCCTTTTGGTTTGTTATAACCTTAAATTAGCACCCAGAAAAAGAGTCACACACTCTTCTGTAAGATAAATTCTTTTTAATTTAGTGAGAAAAATAAGTTATTTGGCAAAAGATTTTACAGGAATATAATACAAATACAACCAAGAAAAAATATTCCGCTAAAATACTTTGCACAAAGACCCATTCCACGGTAAACTTCTATTGCAAACAATCAGTATACTAGCTTTAGAAAAACACAATTAATTTGATTTAAGTTACAAGAGAAGGAAAAGAGTAAATGAAGAAAACAGATTAAAAGAGTAAAGAAAGAGAGAAGAAAGAGAGGAGAGAGGAAAGGAAAAATAGTTACCAACAAGATCTGATGGTTCTCATGGTTCAGGTTGCAGGAGAGGAGAGAAGAAGAGGCTCACATGGAGTCTCGTGTATTTATGGAGTTCAGTTTTCCCTCCCAGGCAGGATATCTGGTCAGTGCCTTCCAAGCCAGAGTGAGGTGTTCTGTAGCCAGTCACAGGCTGCAGGGGTGTGGTGTGTGCAAGCTACCAGGCAGGTCTGCCTTGACTGAGAGCCTGGCTGCAGGGCCTTCAGCTCTGCCGTGTGCTCTGCAGGGGCACAGCCGTGTTGGCTCTGCCGTGTGCTCTCAGCAGGGCTCATGCGCAGGCCTTACCATGGACCTGCAGGTGTAGGCATAGTCCTACACACACACACACACACACACACAGACACACTCACAATGAGTTGGTTCTGGCCCATATCAATAATTTGGTGAGATTTGGGTCCAGTATCTCACACAGGTCTTACATCTACTTCTTCCATAGGAGTTCGGTTCTTAAGCAGGTGGTCAGTCCTCACCACCTTCATCCATGCTGTACTGACCTTGTCAAATCTCATTACCTACAGGAACAGGGTCTTTTTTTTTCAAAATAACACAACCAACTGAATCTGTGCTGAATTATTTGATAAATGAGAGAGTGTAAAGTGGGTTGGAAAAATGAAAACCCAAGAATGGGCAGCAGCATCTTCTGAAATGTTAGATGCAATTGAAAGAAATTAAGTGACTTCTATAAATTCCCTGATTCAATATAAATATCCTAATCCTGTCCAGGATGTATTTAGGGTTAAATAATGTAGAGTTATACCACTAAATAGTGGACCACATGCAACCTTAATGGTCTAAATAGAGCATGTATTTTGGGCAGTGATTGCTATCATTCCTCTTGGGAACCTTTCAGCACTACTGAGCACATTCTGCATAAACAATTATGTTTTAGTGGTTAAAATCAGCTATTTATATAACACACAAGTGGAATTTCACACTGCTATCCTAATCTCAAGTGTTTTCTTTCACCGCCTCTTCTGTTTAAGAGGATCTGGTAACTTTCATCTTATTTCTACTGTAAAAATATGCAAACCATATATTTAAGTCAAAATCCCCTGGAGAATATCATTTAGAAGGAATATCGTGCCACGATTGCTTCTCCCCTAGAACATTGTAAACTGCCTGGTGGTTTCATAGTTTGCTGTTTGAAATCCCACATGTTAAAAGATGGAAATCTCAGTATTTGGGACTGCATCTACTATCATCTTCCACAAGTTTAACACTTATGTTAGATTTGCAGCAATCTGAATTGTCCTCAGTACTTTTTGTCCAAATATTCAGTAGCTTCCTAGTCAATATTTAGATAAATCAAGTCATTCTGCTTTCAATTCTTTTGCATTTACACTCTTTTCCAAAAGCCCTGTCCCCTCTTTTCGGTGTTACATATTTCACCAGATTCTAGATTTTGCTACCACTTCAGATAAAATATTTTATTTGAACATTTCAAGTTCAACATGAATACTTTTACAGGATATGATTTGGGTTAAGGTAAAGCTTCTGAGTTCATGGATGTTTCATACTTACATCTTAAATACGTGTTGTTTTATAATAATTTCTCACCATGCAGCAACAGAACTAAAATGCTGGTTTGTCTTCTGCATTTCAGTATTTGAATCAAGCTTCATTTCTCCCACCAATGGACAAGATAGTAATGGAAAGGAAGATTTTTAAAGTGTACATATATTTTTTTTAAAGGATTTTGCTGGTCCTACCAGAATAGAAGTAAGCCTGATCACCTGAGTTTAGTTCTTGCTTTGAGTTGGAAACTTCTTACTGTGACTGGCATCAGGACTAGATCCAATCTTCTTGCTCATTTTGGTGCAACACTTGTTTTCTCCTGTTTTATGACAGGTAACCTGGGGTCCCAGCTGGTTGAGTATAAAGAGGAGATGTATATAACATCTGACTGCGGGAACACATGGCGTCAGGTAGGAAACATCAAGGAACCTGGAAATAATTTTAATGTATCAAATGTGATGAGTTTTATAATGCTTAACTAATCTTTAGATACCCACTCTTTTGAAGGAGGTGGCTACTATTATCTTAATTTTGCTTGGAAACGAAGAGATTAAAGAGATGAAAATATTCGAATTTCATTGGGACCTGACAGCCTGATCAATTTGAGTCTCTGCAAATCCCTTCTTAAAGACCTTAAAAGTATCTTATGCAAAAAGCATAGCATCTGTTTAGGTTTTTAATAATTTAAATAATCTTCCTATGTTAATGGTGAAGTGGACTTGGGCAAGATCTTGCAGTACAAACATTCCAAGATAAAAGACATGGCTTAGGTACAAAGGCAGAAATTCTTCAGCTTCATAGTCTGAAAACTGTTATTTAAGCATAAACTTTGTTCTTCACTGAAACTGAGTGAAAACAGGTTTAAAAAAAAAAAACAAATACAAAAAACCCTTTGAGTGTCTTTTAATATGATTTAATAAATTCAGGGACTACAAATACCAAAGTGTTAAAAAGAGAACAGTGATGTAGTAATACTGTCTGAATTCTGGATGTCTTTTGCTTCCAGTACCTAGTATCAATTAAAGCATTGCATATTTATTATGTATCCTGAACTGCTTTGTCTCAGTGTGGTGAGTTCACTCTGGCTTAATGCCAGGTGCTCATCAGAATCACTTTATCAGTACCCTCCTCGGATGGACAGGTGAGAGAGAATATAAAAAAAGACTTGTGGGTCGAGATAAGTCACCAATTACTGTCACGGGCAAACCAGACTCAACTTGGGAAAAATTAATTTAATTGCCAGTGAATAACAGAGTAGGATAGTGAGAAATAAACCCAAATTTTAGAATACCTTTCCCCCACTCTCCCTTCTTCCCAGCTCAGCTTAATTCAGAGAGTTTCTACCTCCTCCCCATATCAGCATAGGGGGATGGGGAACTGGGTCTGTGGTGAGTTCACTGCGTGTTTTCTCACCCTGCATCCCTCCTCATGGGGAGGACTCCTCACATCTTCCCCTGCTCCAGTGTGGGGTCTATCCCACAGGTCATAATGAACACAACCAACTGAATCTGTGCTGCATTATTTGATAAATGAGAGAGTGTGAAGTGGGTTGGAAAAATGAAAACCCAAGAAGGGGCAGCAGCATCTTCTGAAATGTTAGATGCAATTGAAAGAAATTAACTGACTTCTATAAATTCCCTGATTCAATATAAATATCCTAATCCTGTCCAGGATGTATTTAGGGTTAAATAATGTAGAGTTATACCACTAAGTAGTGGACCACATGCAACCTTGATGGTCTAAATAGAGCATGTATTTTGGGCAGTGAGCAACTGAGTCCTTCCCATGGGTTGCAGTTCTTCATGAACTGCTCCAGCATGGATCCCTTCCACAGGGCAGTCCGTCAGGAAGAGGCTGCTCCAGCATGGATCCCTCATGGGGTCACAAGTCTTACCAACAAACTTGCTCCAGCACAGGCTTCTCATGGGGTCACAGCCTCCTTCAGGCATCCACCTGCTCCATGGGCTGCAGGTGGATCTCTGCCCCACCATGGGCCTTCATGGACTGCAGGGACAGAGCTGCCTCACCATGGCCTGCACCATGTGCTTTAGGGGAACCTCTGCTGGGGCAGCTGGAGCACCTCCTCCCCCTCAAAGGACTAAAGCATGTCAAAAAACAATTTCATTTCAGGTAAAATAGTGGTTTAATGTTTAGCTGTAATCAAATATAGTTATTTTCTGAGAACAATTAAGTGTGAAAATGTTCTCAGTAGTGTTACTGAGCTTGCGGAATTTAAGGTTAAAAGAAGAAAATACGGTCAGTTTCTTATATTGCTATTGTAGGATGCCATTAATACTCCGCTTTTAAAAGGACATTTAAAGATAAATGGGTTATTTTTGCCATGAGAATGTCTTTTAATGTTTAAAGGATAAAATTTTATGCCAAATTCCTGCTTGAAACCTAGAATATGATAAATAGGTGTTTAAATGCAAAAGTCTTCCAGGATTTACAGTGGGCACTGTGTTGTTCAATACTTCATAGAGGTCTCTCTCATAATTTATTGTTAGTATTTGCCAAAGTGTTACAGTTTTTCTAGGGTTAAAAATAAGAAGAAAAGAGTGAAGGGGATCAAATCCATATTTTACTGCTTTTTATTTGTAAGACACTCAGGTAAATGATATGTGTTGCAGCTTGACCCTAAGGTGCCTATTCATGCTATAAAACCGAACACAGACTGATCCCTCATTGCAACAGTAGAAATTGAGAGCACCATTGCTAGCTTTATTTTAATTAAAACTGCTTCCAAGCCCTTGAAAGAGCTTGCTCAATCCTAATATTTGCAATCAGAATTAAATTGTAGATTATTGCATGTATTTTATGGCTTCACTGCTCACGACCAAACAGTTCTTCCAGATGACAGCAGTACATTTCGTTTCTCTGTTGGAGTTCATACAATGACAGAGAAGGCTTCAGTCAGGTGATTTGGGAATTTAAATAATTAAGTAAACTGCAGGCCTTGTGAGCTGGTGAATACAGAACAAATCCCATGCTTTGAAATGACTCTTCATCTGAGTTTAAGTTTCTGACTTGGAGACTGTGGTTGTCATTAGTGAGTGCCTGGCACCTTTCTCATGTGCTCACAAGGTGTTTCAGGGCTGTTCACAGACTAGAGGATGAGCAGTCTATGCTTGTGTATAGAGACAGAGCAGAGCAGAAAAGTAAACATAAGAGACTTAGGAGAAAAGACAGTTCAAGGAATTAATTAAAAGCTTTCTTCAAATAATAGCACTATTGGTTCATCATAGGAATATAGAACTGTGGGGAAGGTCAAAGATCATGTAATTCAACCATGTGCTCTGAGACAACATCAAATGTACTAGGAACATCTCTGCAAGAAGTATTTGTTAATCTCTCACTGTAGGAGATTCAGGCTACATGGTGTTTCACCATTCTTCATAGATTTTTCTAAATATTTTACATAAGCGGACTGTTCCTTTTGCTGTTGTTCTTAATGTTTCACAAATTCTACAAGGTAATTTCTTCTTATCTTTAGAGAGGAGTGGTTTCCTGTCACCTTTGAATAACTTTTTAGATGTTGAAATGTGATTATCAGGTCTACCCAGACTGTAGGAATTTTCCCCTTGGAAACAGCAAACTCAAATCCACTGATTTTCCAAGTGAATCAAATTTCTAAAGTGCTGCGCTTTTTTCCCCCTTTTTCTTTATATTGGACTATCTAATATGACATGTCTCTCCTAAAGCATGGTAAAACCAAATACAAAATTACAAATTTTATCAGTACTATATCGAACAAAATGATTACCCTTGATGTTTTGACGTTACTGGCACTCCATTTCAGATTTCTCCTCCTTGCAATAGCATCACATTGTTGATGCAAATCCGGCTTGTGATTCTTAACTGGAGCCAGTCCCTCAGTTTGTAATACATTCTCACTTTAACAACAATCTGCTGATCATTTTCTTTCCATAATTTCTTAACTAGCTGTATATACTTAAATGATTTTAAGGCTCATGGGGGTACTTCTTGCTCTCTACGATTACCTGTAAGGAGGTGGGTGTTGGTTTCACCTCCCAGGTAATAAGCAATAGGACAAGAGGAAACAGCCCATCTTGAACCAAGAGAGGTTTAGACTGGATATTAGGAAAAATTTCCTCACTGAAAGGATGTTCAGGCATTGGAACAAGCTGCAGGGAAGTGGCTGAGTTACCATCCTTGGAAGTCTTCAAATAGCATATACCTATCGCACTTAAGAACATGATTTAGTAGTGAACTTGAAAGTGCTCAGGGTTCATGGTTAGACTCAATGATCTTAGAGGTCTTAATGAATTTGCGATTCTATGATTTGACCTGAACCCATATTTCCATAGCTTGCATATGTTGTGGTCATTGGAGAGTTCAGGAAGACTTACATGTAAACACATCCAGTGTTTACAGATAGAAATAAATCCCTAAATGAGAGTTTTGTGAAATTAGGTAAATAATGGGGAAAAATGAAAATGTTTGGGGAAATAATGGAAGTTTGGTGAGGAGGATTATAAACGCAGTCAGATGACGTGCAGCTCAGGTGTCAAAACCCACATATATTGTTGTTTGGCCTTGTGTGTTGGACAAGTAGAACATCTGTGTTTAGATAACATAGGCCTGTGGTAGACTTAGAGGCACACTATCACACATACTTGAGACCCCCTGAAAGACCAAAACAGAGTGGTAAATTATGGCTGAGCAAACTCCTGAAATATTGGTGAAAACAGCAGAGTGGGTGATCCTTTAGCATGGATCCTTTAGCATGGATCCTTTAGCTCTTCAGTTCCTGCATTCCCACTTGTGTGTCTCTGCCCAAATGCTGCTTCAGCCCCAAGTTGGCCAGGTAATGAGAATAAATTTACTCTTTGCGTTTCATCTGTGTCTTTGTGGTTGTTCCTGTGTCCTGACTCTGCCAGCTCATGCAAAAAGTAAAAACAAGGCTTGTGATTATAAATAATCACAATACCACTTGTGTTGGCTCTAGTTGTTCTTCTACCTTTCTGTTGCATGGTGCCTGAGCTGCTTGTTGGAATATCTTGAAACCATCACTCTTTTTTAAGAAAAACTGAAATTCATAGCTATGTACTGTACAACATTCCACTGCAAACAGCAGTAGTTTAGGAGCTGATTGATAAGCAGTTAGACATCCATGCAGCAGCAGTAGACTGGTCTGTAGGAGAAGGGAATCTCACCTGGACACTATCATGAACTGCGTGGGCTTAGAATCAGAATCATAGAGTCGTAGAACTGTTTAGGTTGGAAAAGACCCTTAAGATCACTGAGTCCAAATATTAAACTAAGTGCCAAGTGGACCATGAAGGCGTAGCCTAAAGTGATCTCATGGACCAGATAAGTTTATTTGAAAGGTTTCCCTCTCTATTATACCAGGAAAACAGTATCACAAAATGTGTTAATGAACATGAAATGTTAGGATACTCTGTTAAGTGCTAAGGATGACCTTGTGTATATGTATGAGTGGTTTTATTTTTTTCAAATACTAAGTTTTATTCACAGTTGTGGTTGGTGTTGCTATTTCAACAGCGTCTGTTACACCACTGTACTTGAAATAGGACAAACAGTAAGAAAAAGGTCTGGCTTTCAAAAGAAATGGCATAAATAAAAGGAAAATATCAGCAAAAACCTTTCATATTTGATCTGCTACCAAAGTAGCTCTTGTAGCTGCAAAATGCTCAGTTAAACTAATAAACAGAAAGCCTGTTGTATGTCTAGGAACTGAATGAAGATCTCTGGAACTTTAGTTTGGTGCCTTTTTTTGTTGGAATATTATTTCTCTGTATTAAATTCTTTTGGCATCAAAGCAACTTGGAAGACCTCGTTTAAGCAAAAATACTTGTTTTCCTGCAGACATCTCAGGAGATGGATTGTAACAATATTAAGCACAGCAAAACACGCTACAATTCCAGCCTTTTAACTCTGGGAAGGTCCAGCTGGCTCATTCTGTGTAGGAAAACTTCTGTTTCCAGATTTTAATCTAGAAATCAATGACATTTGATGAGAGAAGCAAGTGAATTTGGGATTTTTTGGTTATTTTTGAAACTTCTGCATTGCAGAGTAAAATTGTGTGGCATATATTTCTTTAGGATCATTTCAATGTGATTTCATGGAGTTTTAGTAATTGCACCCAACAGATATTCTGACCTGAAATAGCTACTGAAGTTGTTGGGACAGACACAGAAACATTTAGAGCAGAGAGGACAAGGGGAGAGAACAGAAGTTGATATTATGATTATAAGACAAATAATGTGCTTGAAAATTACATAAATAGGTTATAAAAATCTTATTGCTTAGTGGCCTGCTACTACTAAGGATCAGAACACATTTATTTCCTGGCTTTAGTTAGTGGAGTGAAAAATATCAAAATTTGTGGCTTGCTGTGAACAGGTATGTTCTCGGTTTTGAACTTCAGCTCTGACACTGGGATCACCTTTGCCTAAATCCTTTGCAAACTGTTTGTCTTGCTTTCTTTTCCAGAAAGTAGAGATAAATATTTACTTTTATGCATGAAATTTTTAATTCTTTTCAATATATTGAAGATGAATTCCTTCCATAAGGAATTTCATACAGTTTGGTTATAAAATGTTTGAAGTATGTGCAAGAAAATTATGATATAATTAGGGTATTAATATGCATGTAATGTGTCTGCTGTGCTAAAGCAGGGTACTAAAATGGTACACGAGGAACTGCTGTGCTGCTTCTCTGGGAAGAACTTATTTGGGTAAAGTGGTACAGATACCAGCTTCCTTTATCTTCATTATGATGGTGAAGCTTTGGGAGACTTCATTGTCCCAGCATAAACTGTTGCATTATGGTTTGAGCAGAAGTTCAAACAAAGTTTAGAGGAGGATCAAAACTCTGCTTGCTTTTCTGACTCTAACTGATCTCATCCTTTTGAAGTGCACCTAAAATTAATGTCTGTCCTTTACTGAATTCTCTTCTAAAATATGCAGCTGTGTGGAATAAGTAGATAGGACTATAAATGCCTCATATCAGGGTTTCGCCTGTAAATCTGCAACACTGAAAAACTGATCAGACACTTGAAGCCCTAGGATTCCCATAAATATGTTCTTACTAGATGAGAGGAAGACTGAATTCTCAACCCAAATTAAATGCTTATTTTTTTGAAATGCTTATTATTTTTTGAAGTAACTGTGTGTGTGCTTTATGATATTTTCACTGCAGCTCTGGTTCAGTCTTGCTGATACATCCTCTAAATGTAACACTCAGTTTTGCCAAAAAAAAAAAAAACAACATTTGTATTATCAGTATTTTTTCATTGACATGGCAAAGTAAAGCTAACCTTTATGGTTTTCACCTTTGCTTTGTGAAAGTGTGTAGGAGACATGTTTGTCTAGTCTGTATGATAACTCTCACCTTTCCTCTTGCTCTTGTGTTAAATAAACTTTCACATGTTGATAACACAAGTAAACCATGTCTTAAAACAGATTTCAGATGTAAGAAAGGGAAGGTATCTACCTGTGGATTTATTCTGGTACTACTGATGGCTTCTAGAAAAGGAATTTAAATAATTTGGGAAACTTTTAATCAATTATACCATTAAGTCAAGTATTACATGTATTTTTGTTCAAAACTCAGAGTGGCCTCCATGGAAAGTCACACATTTGAACTTAAATAAATCACTGATACTGGAAATGCAGAAAACATGCTTGTACCAACTATTTAAAGTTCTATAGTTTCAGGGTAATGTGAGAAAGTCAGGAACAGCAATACTTTTGCTATTTTTCTTAGAACTAAACTACAAAGCATTTTATTCTGCAAGATATGGCAAATACCAAAGTAAGGTGATAGGTCACTTGGTGATATATAATAGGAAGGAATGCAGAATGCATACTTCAGAAATATCAGCTTGGGCTAAAATCACTTTAGGCAGTTTAATCTGACTGTGATTTGAACCTGAACGTTTTGTGATTCACCTACTTAACTTCCTTTTCTTTTACAGCTGGAACAAATACAGGAGTTAACCTGACTTTTATGTCCTATTCAGTTTGAAGTGTGGATATTGTAAAACATAAAAGTCTATTAATCCTTGTTTGCTTGTACATTTTATTTCAGCTGTTTTGTGCATTTGCTTAGCTGGCCTTTTTTTGTCTGACTTGTAGGTCTTTGAAGAAGAGCACCATATCTTGTACTTGGACCATGGTGGAGTTATTGTGGCTATCAAAGACACCTCTATCCCTCTGAAAATACTCAAGTAATCCTACAGTTAATTAGAGTAGAGCTATTGAGTATTCAAGACCTCAGGCAAAATTCAGAGTTAAAGATAAGCATTTTAACACGATCATGTATGAAAAACAGGTGGAGTCAGCTTAATTTAACAATCATTAAGCCAATAAAATGCAGTTGGATATTTTCTTAAAGATTATTTCATGGTGCTGAAGGTAGCATGGCATAATGCATTAATCTTAATAAAATTTTCTTGCATCAGTGTGGGGTTTTTTTGCTTAAAAGGCTATTCTGGGACTCTACAGTACAAGCTATGTTCAGCATGATTGTTATTTTCTACTGTTTGACACCAGCAGTGCATGTCAATGATGCTCAACCTGTGATGCGTATGTGGCTTAGGTATGCAGTCAGGATAATTCATTGGTACTGTAATAGATCTCTGTCTTCTCCAAGGGTCACAGTGAAATTGGAGAATAGCCCTGAGTAGCTCTGGCAAGACTTTGAAAATCAAGAGGCAAAGTTACGTGTAATACGGTCTGCCAGAAGCACAGTTTGTAGTGTGCAAAGATCCTGTCATACAGTGGTAATGCAGCAAGTGGCTTTCTCAGCTTCTTTGGCTGAGAAGGAAAGGTTTGCTGCAAAGCATTTTGTTATAAAATATCAAGTTTTAGACTGCATGACAGTGCAGCAAAATATAGTAGCCTTATATAATGGCATGCAGAACTGTAATTCTCAGCATAAAAGCCTGTAAGAGATCTTTATCACTTGTGACTAGGTTCTATTTTGCAGAATTTTATACAGTAATAGGAACTAGGATCTGTACCTGGTTAGCAGGTACAGACTTCAATTCCTAAATTTTGGATGTACTGAATATCTGAAATATGTTTTGTGGATTCATCAGCATCTTCTGCAAATTTTTAAGTGGCTGGTAGCAGCCAGGGAGGGCCATCATCATCTCGATGCCTGCAGTTACTGCATCTCCCACATGTTTTAGCAGTTGGGATCTTTTGCCTCTCATGTTTCACTGACCTCTGCTTAACAGGTCTCTAGTCAGAGACTACTAGAAAGAATGAAGTGTAAATTAACTTGCTTTTGAACCCATAAGGTAGGAAGATAGTTTGTTGACAGAGCTCAGTTTTTGTCTCCCTGAGAATTTTTATTGTTGTGGCAAATTTATGATACATCTTCTCATAAAGATGTGAACTGTTGGATATGATGCTGAAAAAAGATTGTTAATATGATACACTGTCTAAGCATATTGTATTTTTGTGATCAAAAATCCTAGGCTTTACTAGTGAGGGTTTTTTCTCTAATAAGTGAATTCAATAAATGAAAACCATTTCTGCTTTTTTACAGGTTCAGCATAGATGAAGGCCAGACTTGGAGCACACATAATTTTACCAGCACTTCAGTCTTTGTAGATGGATTACTTAGTGAACCTGGAGATGAGACACTGGTCATGACGTAAGGTTTTGGTTTCATCGCTGCTCTCAGAGCTCTCTCTGCTTATGCGCTTGAGCATATTTTCAGTTTTGTATGTTTGAGATAGTCCTTGAGTCAGTGACTTTTGCTTCTTGCAGTCACACAGACTCTTCCACTGATGTTCAAACTGCCCTGGTATGTAATCTGACTTAGAAATTATCTGAGTGCAGTATTTCAGATTAAAAGGATTATATTTTCAGGTAAAAAAGATTATATTCATTTAAAATCTTAGTAAGATACCACCAGGGAGAGTGGAATAATAAGACTGCAATACAAATCTTAAAAACTTACGGGGAAAAAAAAAATTCCTCCATTTTATTTCCCTACAGATTTTTAGTCAGACATCAAAAACGTTAAATATCTATTGTCTTCACAGTGTAAGCAACTATATTGTTGTCCTAGTAACTAGCATTGCAGTACTTTGTGTAACCAAGCACTGTGCTAACAAATGCTTGTTTTTATTCTGTACAGTGACTGAGGCAGATGCCGTGAATAGAGTTAAAAATAGCCAAATTCTGCAGCTCAGGCCCCTGTTTATCTGTCTTTTTCCAAAGGGCCAGGGACATCTGGATCTGAGCTGCAGGCTTTGCTCCATCTCCACGATAAATGCCAATATTTTAGAAGTGTCTGAGAGTAAGAAACACCTGTCCAGTTTAGGAGAAAGGCACATGCTGGCTGCAGCCAGAAAGGGGAATGCACTCAGAGATGTGCAGGTTGTTGTACATGCTCCTATCACAGCAGTTTGTGCGATCCTTTATCCTTGAGCTCAGTGTGTTCATGACAAGCTTTTTCTCCTAGGAATTACAGATAGAGGTACCTTTGACCACTAGCATTTTCCCCAGGGAAAAATAAATTAACAGCCCAATGTGGACTTGTGTAAAGGACCCTCAGCAAAACAGAAATCCTACCCAATGTACTTAAAAGCATTGTGCTGACTCCATAATGCCTTACTGCACAGGGGTGAATTTGGTCTCTAGTTATTTCTTTCTTTCTCCACTGCCTCATTTATCCTCCATTATACATCTATGACCTGAGAAGAACAGGATTATACCACCATCTTTCCCCTCTCTCAAACACAGGTTTATTTATGGTATAATACATGCCACATGAAGACACTTATGCCTCTGAATGAGGTATTTCCATTCACTTCAGTAAAAGCAGAGGGATCAAAAGCTTATCCTAAACTGTGCTTACTGGCAGATAAAACGATTTGTGATGACTATATGCTCTGGGTTGTTTTTTTTCTTATTAAGTATCATTATAACAGTGATTTGGTGAAGATGTGTTTAAATACTGGCTGAATGGGCTAAAGAGCTCTTGTAAAACATGATGCATTTTTAAAATCATCAATCTGAAATATATAAAACTGTAGCTAGTTTTGATACATGAACCCAGACTGACATAAAAGCATCATATGACGTATATTTCTAAAGGCAGAACAAGAGTCTGACTCCAGCATCACAATGCCAGGCTTGTAGGATCTTACTTTTTAGGGAGTTCTACAGAACATGGAGGACATCAAACACTTAATATCACAGACTGGCCCCGAAAATACTTGCAACCTTCCTGCCAGAATTTAAAGATAATGAGAAGAATAAACCTGCAGTGTGTGTTGTATTGATGCTGTTGTATCAGCTTCCTTGTCTCTCCTGCTGCTTTTGATTGTGGCTTTACCTTAAGGGTGATGTTGTCAGCCCAGTGGTGCTCAGTCTGACTTTATGTCAAGACCTTTTGTCGTTCTGTCCAACTCACTTCATTTTCTCTGAAAACTTATTCTTGCACTAAGTTGTTATGCTTGAGTTGATCTATAGTGATTTGCTGGTTTCGAGTAATGTCATCCCCTGATACACATTCCCTGGGAAAAAAAACAAGAATCAACTATGCCATATTTTACTTTTTATTAAATAAAAATTCCTTCTGAGTAGAACATGGTAAGATGAACCTGTGTATGGTAATGGAAATAAATAAGTAGTGTCTTTCACCTTGAGGAATCTCCAAATCCATTACTAAGGACCTAGTCTGACATTTTTCAATAGTATGGGAATTTGATTTTCTCCCTTTAGTATGAAGTTTTTTTGAATAAAGACTTTGAATAAAGAGCCCACTGTCAAAATGTACATAAATTAGGAGACAGAGCATAATTCTGAATTGGGAAGGTAATAACTGGAAAAGTCTGCGGCAAAATTGAGGAACAGACAGTATTTTATTTAAAGCTTCTAGAATAAACTCACAAAGGAGTCAAAGAATATTTTTCTTCTACAGAAAATGACTGTTACAGTAGGGTAAAGTCCTAGTTCCATTGAAGTCAACTTAGAGATTTCCTTCAAAGTTTTTAATGTGTATTAAAAGAAAAAAAAATAAAACCAAACATAAAATTATTATCTGGGAAAGATATTAAAGGACATGTTAATGCTAACTGTAAGAGAGATTTCTCATCCTCCAGCATGCTGTCTGGGATATTGACCTGACTTGGAAGTGACTTGCATTTAAATTCCAGTTCTGTCTTAACTTATCCAAAGTCAGAGAATCAGAGAATCACAGAATGCTTTGGGTTGGAAGGGCCCTTCAAGATACCCAATGCCCCTGCCATGGGCAGGGTCACCTTTCACTAGACTAAGTTGCTCAGAGCCCCATCCAACCAGGCCTTCAACACTTCCAGGGATGAGGTATCCACAACTTCTCTGGGCAACCTGTTCCAGTATCTAACCTTGCTACCAGTGAAGAATTTCTTCCTAATATCCAATCTCAACCTACTCTCCTTCATCTTAAGGCCATTCCCCCTTGTTCTATCACTACACTCCCTTGTGAAAAGTCCCCCTCCAGCTCTCTTGTAGGTCCCTTTCAGTTACAGGAAGGTATCCCTGGAGTCTTCTTTTCTCCAGGCTGAAGAACTCTTTCAAGCGGGTCTTCATAGGGCAGGTGCTCCAGGCTTGTTGAACTTAATGAACTCTATACAGGCTGTCCTCTCAAGCCTGTCAAGGTCCCTCTGGATGGCATCCTTCTCACCACACAGTTTAGTGTCACTGGCAAACTTGCTGGGAGTGTACTCGATCCCACTGTCCATGTCTCCAGCACCAGTCCCAATACTGACCCCTGAGGAATGTCACTCATCACTCTGTTCCATTCTAAAATGAAGTGGTCTGTTAAGCTTTACTGAAGAGGCAGGAGAATGTGGACCTGGTTGCCTCAAGTTTTCATTTTGGAAAGTTTTGTGTTTTCTCCAAAACAGAGAAGAAAACCAAATGTGGACTTGTCAAAAGTTTTCATAAAACTGACTTGTCATCTGCCAGTCAACATTAATCTAAATCATTTATCCAAATCCCCTGCGGTATTCAGAACATGTACACAAGTGCCAAGGAAAATATATTTTATTCCATTGTGCTCTGCAAAAGACCTAGTTAAGATTTTTAGGAGTTTTAAGTAGTAAAGTATTCAAAAACTTTAGGAAACTCATTCTGTATAAAAATCAAATTCTAAAGAGACCTAGTTAGGAGTTTTTGGAAAGATAAGTAATAAAGTATTCATACAGTTTAGGAAACTTGATCTGTGTGAAAATCACCTTCTAAATGAAGAGCTCAAATCTGCTATTTATTTTTACTTAAATGAATAAGTAGTTTTTGCTGAGAAATTTTCTCGACTAACTGATATATTTTTATCAAAATAGTGCATGGTCTAGTAGGTTTTGTTTTGTGCTAAATTCTGTAAGAATGAAAGTTACTGCAACCCAGTTTTATACTTAACAATATCTTATAGTTGGGAAAAATTACTTAATAACACTGGATTGAGTAACTACCTAACAGTGCAATAGGAAGAATTTTTGTGTGTCTGAAATACTGATGTTCCTCTTCAGAGGAATTAGTTGGTGTAATAAAAGTTTCAAGCCTTTTAAAATTGCTTCTAAATCACATTTCAGCTTCAGAGAGCGTTTCCCAAACCAGGTTATTTAGGTTGCAGCGTAAACCCAGTAGGCACAATAACGATGGTACCGCAGTCCATGGCCCCTTTTAAAAGGCCAGTAAGAGGTTACATAAAAGGACTGCTTTTCTTTATGTCAGGTAGAATAAAAATCTTCCTCGTGGGTAATTGTATTTTTTCCAGAGGGGTATTTTTTTTTCTAATGTCTCACAGAGTAGCAACTTAGGATGCTGCTGGGAACTTTATGACATCTCTGAACTGGAGAACCCCTGCATGCACATTTTTCTCTCTTGAAAGTCCATTGTTTCATTCCTTTTGTGTTCGTAGGCGATAATGGAAACAATAAGATAGTCTAGTTTTAAAATTACTCGTGACCAGGTGGATATTAACAGGTGTTAGATATTAGGGAGAGCCATCTGGATTTTTGCAGCTGTTGATTCTACTGGGAATGTCAACCTAACCTTTAACAACATAAATAACCGTGAACATTATATATAGTTTGTGGGGCTTATTGTGCCACTCATGGCTGCACACTACCTTTCCTGTTGTCTTTGAGTAACTTACTAGGTGGAGATACTTCTTTGTGTTGTGAATACTTCACTACTGATTTTCTCATACTGCAGCACTTAATAAAAGGTAGATAGATGGTAGATAAGGTCTCATTAAGAGAATAGCTGCTTTTCCAAGGCAAATTCTAGCTTTTCTTTGAAGCTAGTTAATCTCTTGCTCAGTTATTCTGCTCTCTGCATGAGAAGGAATGTATGTCTGTCAATAGATGAAGGAAACATGGTGAAAAAAGCATTCAAAAAAGAAACTTGTTCCTCTACTCTGATCTAATCTAGGCATCAGCTCGTGAAGTATAAAGGTGCCTGTTTAGTAGCAATCTAATGCTTTTGCTGTCATCTCTGTGGACACAGATGTTAGCAGAGGAAGGCAGTGCATTGTAGTGTCACTGCCTTGGAGCCAAGACCTGTCTCTCCCTCCACTCAAAAGAATTTGAGTGGGTGAAGTTTTGGATTTTTTAACTTCTTTCCTGAAGTTTCCTAATGTAGTCAGAAGCGTGATGC